TCCCCGCCTCAAACAGGTCCGCCCGGGAGAGGGGGACCTCCAGGCCCCTGCTCCCCCGGCAGCACCACCAAATTCGCCTTTCCAGCAGCATAACCAACCAGATTTTACCGAAGCGTTTAATGCCGACAGTCTGATCAGATGGGTGCTGCCATGAGGATACTCACTAGGGACTACCCAAGAGAAACCAATTTGCTTCAGAAGTAAAAAACCGCCAGTCTAATCCTACACATGTTTGATGACCACATTTCTTTTCCTAGTAACATGCAGGCAATGAGAAAACTCGCACTGTTCAAAGTGCAAAGCACTCCATATTTAATTAATTTGACAGTATTTTAAGGAAAGTAAGTATCCCTTCTTTACTAGTGCTAAAGGAAAGCTCTCAAGTGTTTTAAATTCCTTTGAAAAAACCCAATCTGTACGTGGGTTGTATTTATGGTGTACAATAAAATCTTGAAACTTCCAAAGAACAATAATTGTAATAATGGCAAAAGTTTAAAAAAATGGCTTTTAGAATACTGTCCCTGTCAGCTACTGACATTATTGTGAAGATGTGACAGCAAGTTGCATTGGCATAAACAAGATGCCAGGCTCAACAGACAATTCCTATTTGGTTTTGCCAATGTTGTTACCCATTTTTCACCGGACGTTTTCTGGTTTTGCACTTCAAAACATGAGAAACTGAGCTATATCTGAGTATCATCTAGGAATGTTTTACAGTCCATTTAAACAATGGCTGTTTAAATTGCCTTTTAACTGAACTACTTACTTATACTTTAAGTATAGTTCTCCTCGTGAGACAACTTGCCTTAAGCTCCAGAAACATTAAATCTAAATGAAAAAGATACCACAATACAGAAACCTTCCAGAGTGAAGTATGGGATGGATCCTTTGGACCCAACACTTTTCCCAATTCACAACCCACCACAGAGATGCTAAAATGAATACTTACAAGCTGTGAATCCCTGTTTACTTCAATAGATTTTTCCCTTTAATCACACTAAAGAATGAATTGGTGTATCAATAGCAAACGGTATTACCTAAACTCTACCATCTCCACAATCAACTCTCCCATAATGGATAGAATAAAAAGAAAATATGCTTGACTCTTTGGGATATGGCAAAACACACATATTTGTCTTCACTTCAAGGAATTACAGTGAACAAACTAATTAGAAATGTTTTCATTCTACTTCTGGAAGCATTAAATTACAGCGGCTTTAATTTGCCTGACCTAAAGCATCAGTGTAAGACAACGAGAGAGAGGTTAAGCCTGTGACAGATGCACAGGACAATGATTCCAGAAGTCTGGCTTCTGTTTCCTCCCATTTCACAGAACGTGCAAGGCATTTTCAGTAAAAATGCCAGCTCCTCTGCAATTGTGTGGAAGACCTTTGTTTCCACATCTGAAATGACAGTGACATGGGAGTCTGGACTCAAATCCTGCAATGCTGTACAGGGAGTGTTCATGCAAAGATCTCATTAAAGTTTATGGGACTCAAACACCAGTTTATATCCTCACATCCTATCTACTGACGTTCTGCTTGACTTAATCCAAATTGTATCTATCCTCTTAACTCTTCTCACCAGCAGCAGAGAGGAACATCAGCTATACTTACACAGTATACTAGAGAGCTGTTAAGCTATATGCCTTGTCATTACACCCAGCAGAATGTAGTAGTCTGCAAAGATTAAAAAGCAATTCTCTGAAAATTTCAAATATAGAGTAGACCAATTACAAGTCAGACCAGAGTGTGCTCAACAAAGAACCCACAATCTCTCCTTTAATTCTACTTTAAGATTTTATGCAATAAACTACCATGAAATTTGTGTGGCACCGAGCCACCTAGCGGTTACTTTCAAAAAAGAAAGGGCTCGCTCTTCTAGAAATAGAAATCAACAGGTTGGATGTATGAAGAATTCAGATAACATAAAAAATGCACTGGTAGAAAGGAATACATCTGCACCACTTCCAGTTTGTATCCTGAATACAAAACCAGACATCCTACAAAGACAACCAACTATCCTGGTTTATAGATGCCCTGCCAGTGACATTTTACCAAAAAGTCTTCTCATGCCATAAGAGTCGCTAAGATTGCAAACAGCATCAATCAATGTTTTTCCTAAATTGTCAGTCATACTCATGGAACAAGAGTTTTATCCTAAGGGGGGCGCTGAAAATACGGCAAGCAACAGAAAAGGAGAGACTGAAGAATATATCTATCACTATCAAAGAAGTGTGGTTTGCAAATCACCTGCCATGTATTACTGAGTCCATTCCCTGCTTTCCCACAACAGCACATCATAGCCATAATAAACTGTAACTTAAAACTAGTTCAATTTCTTGGTTGGCACTCCTATAGAAGCATAAGCTGGGACTTAAGGCTTTGCAATGTTCTTTTAATTATAGGATTTCATAACACAGTAAAAAGCAAGAAGCTGAGCTCTTGAAATCTAGCGCTTTTATTGAAGTTTTACAGTGACATACAAAATACGGTGTATTATCAAGATGCTTATAAAAACGAATAAAGACACTATAGCAAGTGCATGAGAAATATCAAAACAAATTTGCATCGAAGATGCAGGCTCCAAGGGAATCCTATCCAGCTATTTCAAAAAGGAAGTCCTTAACAGTCTGCTCAGTAGTCTGTCTTCCTATGAGCTACTGCTCATTGTCCTTTTTTTTTTTTTTAAATAGCTGGAGAACTGTTACATAAGAACAGAAATTTAACTACCTACCTACAAAGTCCCTGTCGGATTAAAGCACAACTACGTTGTAGTTTTCACAGAAGACCGTAAAAAGGTAGTTCTTTGAATAGCCATCCTGTTTGAGGAAAATGATTCATTAGGTGGAAAATAAGCCGAAGTCCAATTCAGCAGTATTGCAGATGCGGCTAGAATACACTTTTTGCAGTTCTCTCCATTTCAGTATTTCCTCTGTCAGCAGCTCCAACTCCACAACAAGCACCTCTGTTTTTGTCAAAGCAGTGTCCTGAAGCAGAAAAGAGTGGATTTCATCTCTATACATCCTGTCAATCTAGCAGGACATAAAAATAACGTAAACAACCAAACAGCATTGAATTCATAATGCTGGAGGAGACAGAAAGCCCCGTTCTTTTGCTACTCACCATATTCTTCATCATGTTTGGTATCTCAGGGATGCTTCTCATGGTCTGCAAATGGCTTTCAAGCTTCTCAATGAAAGCCACAGCCTCAGCCAACAACTCTACTACATACCTGTAACCAAGAATGAGCCCCCTACTCAAAAGCTGTGCAAAACAATGAGGATTTAATACTTCCAAGCTCTTATTTCTTTCCCCTGTGGGTTTTCTTAGTCTTCTCCAGTTTTATACAAGTTCCTAACCATCTAATTCATTTCTCTGCAATTGCATTTCTTTTATGACTCTTGGCAACAAGTAGGGTAGGAATTACGGAAATGAATATGCACCTCTTCAGTAATTGGACTAGTGTTTTAGACCATAAGAAGAAGGACTATATTTTTAAAACATGTACTATGCATGTCTGAGAATCATTCACACTTATTCTGAGCAAGTCACAGTGGAAAGAAGACGCCAAATGCTGAAGTAATGATTCCTACCTATGGAGAAGCATAATGAATCAAGCATGTAACACATCTGTTTAAAACAATACATCGCAAATTGTTCTGTAATCTTCAGAACACAAGACCAATAACCTAAACAAATATTCATAAAAATATATATCACTACCTTTCTATGAATTTAACAATAAGTAAACTACTAGCTTTTAGCTGAGGTTCTGCTACCATTTTCTATTTCTATTTTTATCAACGGAAAAGTGAATGAAAGCATGCGATTTTTACTGCCTCTTAGTTCCAATTCATTTGGACTCAAGCAAACAAAGAACAATTATTTTCTATATGCTTACTTGTGGAAAGTAGCCTCAATAGGCAGGCTGTCTTGACATCTGGGCTTTATCAACCTCCTTCTAAGAGCCGCCTTCTCTTTCAGCATAGCTTCCAAGTGTCTGTTCATATCTTGTAAAATCTCACATTTTTTTCCTATAAAATAAAATCGCGAAGTTGAACATACTGTCCTGCTAAAACAAGAGCAAAATTTCTTCTGGAGAAAGACGGAAGGAAAAAGTCTGATCTATTGCACTGGAGAGTTTACACTCAAGAAAGATATCATTACTCAGAATGACTTCTGTTGGAGTGTGTAGGACTTAATACGAGCATGCACCTCAAAGTCATAATACCCACTTTTTAGAGATACAGCTTTGTTAATTGTTTTACATTATCTACAGTTTTAAGTAAACTGTCTTTGAGATGAAACTGACTTCTTAAATAATTGGCACTGAAGTATTAGAATTTACTTCACTAGCCTAACACAGTAGTAGCAAGCTAGAATGTTTTTAAGCATCCATCAAATCGAAGTGGGAAAAGTGCAATGCTCCCAAAATATCAAAATAAAAATCCAAGTAATTTTAGAGGCATACAGATGCAGTAGAAATACACTGAGTTACTGGAAAAGGAGCAAAGTAGCACACAGGCCAAGGGAAGCAAATCAGGTTCCTGATGATCTCAGAACTCCTGATGCACCACTGACCTTGGGGTGCTGACCACACACATACCATGTTTTTGGAGAATGAGTTACACACAGACCTTCTATTCAGACAGCAGAGGGTACAAGTTCAAATAGCATGGAAGCATTCTTTAGGGGCTAATGAAACACCTGCCATCTCTAACAAGCTATCCAGTGGAGACAGCTGCAATAACTTCTAGAAGTTTTACATGCTCAGATGAAACATTAATCCACTGATGAAGTCATCTGACACCCTTGGTTTTTCTAAGGTACAACTGCACTTACCTAGGTGAAAAGGGTGAGCAATGTCTGCTGTCTCTTTCTCCAACTGTAGCATTTCAGTTTTCAGTTTTTCCTAAAACAATAGTAACATCAAATGAAAATGCATTTTTAACATACTTATCCAGATATTGTTGACTCTATTGGGGTGGGGAAGGAAGTAGAAAGGGAGAAAGTGGGAGAAAGCACATGTGTGAAAGAGAGCGAGCATTTGCATGAGCACATGTTACTATACTCTCTGGAGTGTTTCTACTACTAGGTGGGGCTTTTTTGATCAATAGGAAAAGAAGGTAAAAAAAACCCTAAACAATTTATTGATTTATTGGGAATTTGTGCTGGAAAAGACAGACCCTGCAATTCATTCCTAAACCACAGAAACTTACATCTCCTACAAAGCAGTTTCATAGTCTATGTTCTACTAAAGAACTTCTCACAGTCCCAAGTTTCCTCCTTCTGACAAAGATTGGTTTGTGTCGAGTTTCTTTTAGCTGTGAGAGAAGCTCACTCAGGTGAAACTCCTAGCATTAATTCTTTCCAATGATGAACCAGCACAAGAGCAGCAGATACCTTCCTGTGGCTGAAAGAGCTGTGGTCATTTTGGCTAGAGAAGAGAAGCCTGAGGAAAGTATAGAAGAGAATGACATATCAGTCTCTTAGGACACACAGAGAACTGTTGCTTTGCTTTTCTTGATCACTGAAGAGAGGACAAAAATAAACCTGCTTCACTTGCAGCATACTGAATATTTGTAGGAGTACTTTGCATGTGAAACCTTCCAGCAAAGGAGGCTAAGTAGCCATCTTACTGGGAGCTGGAAACTGTCTGTTCCTTCTTCCCATCAATACAGGATGTATCATTCTCCAAAAATGTAAATGGTGAATTTATCATACTGCCCTGCAGTAAGGCTTTGTAGCTGCTGGAGCCCACACTGTGTAACTTAGTAAACACAGTTTCTGTACCAGCGATCAAACGCTCAGAAAGCATCATCATAAGATACAAGCCAACAGCCAATTCAGGCAGTAGGAAGTGACTGAGGTTACTTCTGGCTAACCAACATAATGGTCTAGTTGCCTATAAAGAAACACATTTTTGTGGATTGAAGCCAACTACAGATTCTTATTTGTTCTTCAGAAAACTTCAGGTAACACTTCAAAGATGCAGGCTCCTGCATCTTTCCAGTTATACCAAAAACTTGTTTCTCACAATTTTGTTCTTTTATGACAACTCAGTCCACTGGGGAAATGGTGCCAAATGTTAAACAGTTAAACCATTAAAAAACAAAACAAAAAAAAACCCCAAAACATTAAACAATAGCACATGGCAGTCTGATACCTCATCAGGTGCCAAGCATTATCTCTAAGTATTGAAGTGCTGAGTGTACACTGACAACACTAAAAGCTGTACCTCATTGATTTCAGCTTGAATGTTTGCCATTTTTTCCATCTCTGAGAATGTCACAAAGCACGGGGCTTTTCTACAGGTTAAATCCAATGTCTCCTGTGAAGGGAAAACAATGGGGAAAAATGCAGTCAGCAGCAAGAATGTATCAGGCAAATTCTCAAGATTGGCTTTTAATAGTCTAAAGCTACTGTTAATCTCTTGTGCTATGCAATACAGTAAATTTCAACTGAACAACTCATAAAATATATGCGTTATTTGGGGAAAATGAACACAAGTAAAAATAAAATTCGATATAAAGCAGTATGAGAGCGCTGTCAATGATACTGGCTTGCATGCCGCTGCAACGCACACACGTAGAGGGCAAAAAAAAAGCCTCATCTCAACTCTCCAGAAAATACACACCAGAAGGTATGGTTATTCCTAGCAACGAAAGCTGCCATCAGCCAAAACCATAACAGATCCCGCAATTAAAAAAAACCAACAAACAACTTCTCTGCCTTTCAAGTTCCCAAGCATTTACACCAACAATAACCCGGTTTAGCGCTTTCAACGCAATCTTATTTCAAGACACGCAGCCGGCCCCGTAGCGGCTAAGGCACAGGTTTGCCAGCCTGCAGGCTGTGTGAGGCATCGCCCCTCGGAGCCCCCCGCGGCAGAAGGCAGGCAGCACACCGGTACCTGAAGGAGGGGCACAGAAGAGAAAGGAGGGCTGCCACACAGCACCTGACCCGCGGCTTCTCCCGACCTTTACCACAGGTAGTTTTTGTTACACCGCTATTTTCCCCGCTGCCGTC